GCGTCCGCGTCTCAAGGAGAAGCATCCTCCCGCTGCGGCTGGATTGGCCTCGCCCCAGTTAATTTAACCGTGTCGCAGACACCTGGCTGCATAATTTATATTGTTTATTAATAAAATTGTTATTTTTTTTCTAAGTAGGAAGCAACAACACCCCGCCAAGATGTTTCAGTGATTTCGCCCTTGTCTTGTTAGTCAAACAGGAGGAGAGATTTTAGGTTTATCAGGGGGAAAAAAAAGATCTAGTAGGGAGTGTGATAAGGCAATCAAATCCATTTCCAGAGCTGCAGGGAAAAGCCACAATGTATAATTTATGTGAGGCTTTCTCTCTACCTGTTTGCAGATTGCACAGTTTCTAAAGATAACTGTCCAGTTAGTCAAAATTATTCATTAATTACTTCAGTGGATAATACTTGACCTGCAGATCATCCAAAAAAGTGAATATTGCAGTAATATTGCAATCAAATTCTCTGTTTCTGCTGTAATTTATTATCGCTAACAAATGTGTACGACTCTGGTACATAACCCGGGATGAAACTCAAATTGTAGATTTGATTGTAATATTTGCAATCTCCAATTTTTACTGGGCCAGGCAGCTCCAAAGGTCACCTCATCAGCAGGAATTACACCAAAATCTCCTCATCTGTTGGGTCTCTGATGGTGTTTTTCCCCTGAAACACCGGGAGCAGGGCGGGTGGGCATTTTGTCCTCAACTGTCCAGCCCACATCTGTGGTTGGGATTATTTACCCACCTCTCTGCAGTTGTTACTTGCTGTTCTTTGGGTTACAGAAATACCCAAGTGCGGCAACCCAAAGCATTTAAGGGTCATGAGTCACATCTACCGACAAAACTGGCTTCAGAACCATGTTATTTCTTTTAAATAAACAAATTCCCAGGTGTTTTGGTTGTTCTTTTGGTTTGCCTTCAGATGGCAGAGCCCTGCAGCAACCACAGGTTTACACTTCCCTTTGCCACCACCAGCATTACACAAATCCTCTTTCTTTCGCTGTTCTTTGTGAATGGAAGTTTAAGGTCTCAGCCACGGGACTTCCAAAGCAGGAGCTTTCAGCGATCTCTCAGCCAGGACAAGGCTCCCGGGAGGGTCCAGAGGAGCAGTGTTGCCACCTAGGGACTCCCGAGAGCTCTAAAAGAGTTTTCTCCAAGCTGGGATGCTCTGACGCGTTTCCCTGGGGTTGTGGCTGTTTGTCTGCTCCCCGTAGGTGTCCTGGGAGGGAAAAGGGGTTTGGAGATGGTCTTTTTATCTTGGCTTTTGTCTCCCCGCGAAATTATGAGGCCCTTGTTGCCCAGCACCGCGTGCCAGCCAGAAATCCTGCCAGCAGCTGCCTCATGAAGGCTGTCACAGCCCCTCCACCACAGGCTTCAGGAACACATTCATCCCAAAATGCACCTCTACACCTGTTACTTATCGATCCAATTTTTCATGTTTAGCTACGGAAGTTTTTCAGCGGATAAAAATTGAAGGAGGATTTGCTGCTCCTACCCTGGCAGGAAGATTTACACATGAGCAAATGATTTGTAACAAACACCGCGTAAGATAGATGGAGCTGCTCCTCTTGTTCACAAATTATTCACAGACCACGGGCTTGAAGAGGAAGAAATTTTTTCCTTGCTTTGTAAAGTACACACAGCTGCATTTCTGTATTATTATTTATGACAACTTTCACAGTAAAAAACGCTCCTGAGAGCATCTTTGCAGAATTATTGCAGCTCACAGGTTGTTTAGTTGGCAGCCTGGACAGAGGACAGGTTGGGCTGGGTTTCTTTTTTTTTTTTTTTCCTTTCTCCTTTTTTTTAGTGATTGCCTTGACCAGCAAGATTTTTGTCACGGGTTTGAGCCTCTGGGCATTACAAGGTCATAAAATTGAAGTTCCTGGCCTCCACTTTTCTCACCAGCCTGCTCAAGGGAGCGTATCACCAAACCAGCCCCTGGGTTTTGCTGGGTGAGCACAGCTCTTTAAGTCAGACTCTGGGGCAAAGATTGAGTTCTGCAAGTGGGAAAAGTGCTGCTGCTAGAACTGTTTCTGGAAAGATGGGGCATTTCTGGAGCCTCGGGTGCCACCACAGGGAGAAGCTGTGAAAGATGGACAGGTAACCAGAAACAGGGACTAGGGACATCCTGAAGGGATCACAGAGGTATTTCTAGGCAGAGCCTTGGGAAGTTGCTTCCATTACATGTTTCCCATATAAAGGGCTGGATGAAACCTTCTTTCCCCTATTCCATAGCCAGAACTAAAATGCACCACCATGTCCTTGGCAGTGCTGTGAGCAGGGGCAGATCCTCAATCCAGCTGTGCTACACTGACACACACCAAAAAGATACAGTTTTACCTTGAAGATCCAATGCTGCCAGGTGTTAACAAGGTCACTATTCAATCTCTGTCTTCCTGGCTCCTGTGTTCCAGATGTGTCTATGTTACGTGTTGATTGGTGCAAATCATGTAACACATGTAAAACCCAGTGGCCTGTGAGCTGAGCAAACACACAATTGCTCCACAAATCCATTACTGGTAGGAGCAGATGGGTTCCTTGCTTAAATAAATGCATTTCAAACTCCTCTAGGTCTGCTTTCAAAACCACCAGTTTGTTTATATAACGTGGTGCAGCCGGGCTCCTACACCCTGTGCTCACCAAACCCTCCCTGCCCTGGAGTTCAGGTGCTTTCATTTCTGCATAAAGGAAATCAGAACGTGAATACAGTTTTGCAAACATAACTGAAAAAAAAAATATCTCTTTTGATTTGTAAATAGGAGCAAAGCATCGTTTACATTCAGGCACTGTTAATTGGGAGCGTCCACAATACGTCACTCTGGGGCAGAGCAAAATAGACACAGAATAAAAATATCTCCAGTGACCTGGTCCTGTAAATGCTGACTAACTTTATGCTCTGGGAGCATAAGGTCCCTTGAAACAAAACGATTTTATTCATTCCTCCTGGAGCTGGCTGGAGTCAGCAAGGGAGAGGAAATAAAAAGCTGTTTTCCTTATTTCTGCTGCTGCGTTCTCAGCTGACAAAAACAAACCAACCAACCAACCAAAAAACCCCCAAAACCAACAAAAAAACAAAAAACTCCCCCCCAAAAAACAAACAAACAAACAAAAATGAATGGGCTGGGGAAAAGCACGTTTTGTTTGCTTTGTGGGTGCTTGGGTGGTTGTTGCTCATTCACCTGGGGGAGCCCTTTTCTGACACGGGCCAGTTCTCGCAGCACCCCAGACACCCTGGAGACCTTCTGCCAGAGAGGAGGAGGAGGAGGAGGAGGAAGAGGAGGAGATGCTCATGTGGCTCATCAGCCGCCTGTGCCAAACCGGGCTGGTGCTCCAGCCCCGCTCCAGCAGTCGCACACGGTCGCCCTCAATGGCCACCTTTGTTGGCAGCCCTGGGCAGGAGCTGCTGACGTGGCACCCGCCGTGTCACCTTGTCCTGTCCCCTGTGCCGGGCCCTCCGCCGCACGCAGGGGCTCAGGATACCTCCTCCCTGATTTCTGTGCTCGCTTTTATGCCTTCAGAAGAAAACGAAACGGAGAAAGGAGCCCGGCAGAGCAGGGAGGAGGTGGAGGCATTTCCCCCTCGATTGGTCCTTCCTGTTTCTTCATTTCCTTATCTCCCCCCTTCCAGCCCCTTCCTCCACCTGTTGAAACGTGGCTATCACAATGAGGGAAAAGCCGCAATTTTAACGTGTGAAGCTGGTAGAATTTTAAATAATTTCTATTAAAACTACAAGCCAGAGGAAGACACCTCTGTGTCCCCCTCTGCTCTGCCACCAGAGAACCCGGTGCCACTGACAGCCCTGCGCTGGCACTGCTGGGCAGACACACTCCCAGCCTGGCAAAAGTCAGTGTCTACACTTGTCACATATACTTTTAGTGCATCCAAGACCCAGCTGTGCCTCAGCACAGCCTCGTGGGCCAATTGCCACGGGGAAAGGCACCTCCCAGCAAATGTTACTTCATTTCTGGAAGGACAGAGGAAAGAACAACCCCCTCAAGTGAATCCTGGCAGGAGCTGGCTGCAGGTCCCCATTTCACCAGTCCTTCAGGTTCTTCCAGTTCACGGGGACAAGGTGCACAGCAAAGGCATTTGCTCTGCAAGTGGCCTCCCAGCACCTGACCTATGTTAGTGCAAACAATACTTAGAGCAGGAAAGTGCCCACTCTCACTCTGGGCTGACTGCACTGCAAAGGGACCATCAGGGTAATTCCAATGGGTTTTGATGGACTTTTGGGGTCTGTTTCTGAGAGCACCTCAAAGAATTGCAAGTAATAGCGACCAATTTCCAATTTTCCTTCATTTTGTCTCAACTGGCTTGTCCCTGCACTGCTGGGATGCTGTTGAGTGTTGCACATCAGTTAACATCCTCACCGTGGGCACTGCATAGCCCAGGCCATCCCCAGCAGAAAGGATTTATGCCCTGCCTACATTAAGTGCCAATCACTGCCACTTAGTCCCACTCGACATCAGATCCTTTGAAAACATCCCATAAAGCAGCTGTCCCGAGTTTTAGCACATTCTGACCAAGCTCAGGGCACTGAAGGGATGGAAAGCAAATAAAACTTTCTCTTTTCCTGTGCTGTGGAAGGGGTGGTGCATTTCACAGGAGGATAAGGCCAGTCTTTGTGGTGCCAACGTCCGTGGCTCACCTCATCCCTGGCTGGTGGCTCCTCTACCTCTCCTCTGCTCCATCCCCATCTCATTGCTGGGGAAAGCGATACCACACGGAGATTTTCTAAGGATAGAAGTCTGGGGATGACTAGGAGGTGCTTTACAACAGCAGTGATGTTGTACCCTGGGGTCACCCAGAGCTCTCAAGCAAGAAGGAAACCTCAGAGCTCCTCTGCAAGGCACAGAAATGGGGTTACACCTTGTGCTGACAGGGAACGAAGGCCCAGAGAACCCAGAGCCACTGCTGGAAGCCAGGAGCAGGCAAGCAGGTCATATGCTTCCATTCCCAGCTCTCCACAGCACGATTTGTCAAGCGATTTTGAAAGAAAAACCAACAAAAAATAAGTAAAGAAAGAAAGAACTGGCTAGAGGTTCTACTGCCTGGGCTCCCCTTTGTCTTCCAGCCTGCCTGGATAAATGTCATTATGGGAAAGGCTGGAGATCAGATACAGCCCTCAAGTTCAGGAGCTCTAACGGGCAGTGGAAGATAAGGCTCTGGATGAAGATAACTGCAGCAGTTATATGATTAATCCCAACATCTTCAGACATTTTCCCCTCTGCCTGTACAAGCTGTGTGATCCTAAACATCCTTAAGGGAAACAACCCCATTCTGGCTAGCAGATGACTAACTGCTTGCAAATAACACAGACATCTTTTTATATATGACAAAAGACCAAAATATCCAAGCTGACAGTGCCCCACAGGAGTGCTCAAACCGGGCAATCCAGCACAGCTCTTTCCAAAAAGCAACTGGGAACCGGACGGGGCGAGAGCCCGGCCACAGCTCCAGCCAGAATGAGCCTTTTGTTTGAGCAAATGCAAATGTCAGGAGAGGGAATGGGCCAGTTGCCACCCTGCAGCAATGCCCCCGGCAGCAGGGCCGGGCTGGATGGCCCCAGACCTCTCTGGAAAAGAGGCAAAGTCAAAATCCCAGCTTTCACCACTCTGGCTTTTGGAGAGTGGCACCTCAAAGTCAGTCTCGCAGAAGATCCTCGTCTCCGCTTACACAGCACTCACTTTCTAATTCCGTCAGGGAGATGTTTAAGTACACGGAGTCCACTTGTGCAGGCATCAAAAAGCCAAACTCATTGGACATCTCAGACCAAAATGTATTTCCAAATGCATCATTAGCTGCGCACTACCCCCAGCACAGGCACAGATGGAAGTTTCAGTAGTGGCTAAAGACAGAAATCTCCCCTGCTTGGTTAAGGTTTCCCTCCCCACATTTACCTCTGTGTGCAGGGTGATCCTCCTTCCCATTCATCCTCCTTTTCTGAGGTTTGATGGGCATGGTGGGAGAGCTGTGTGCAGGACTCTTCCAACAGCAGCAGCAGAGGCCAAGGAACTCAGCCTGAGAAGGGCTTTGGGATGCTGTAGAGAAGTGAAAAGAGATAAAGCTGGGATATTACTACAGCACGACTGCTTACAAGATTTTAGTCCTGTGTTGCCATTGATAATTAACTACAGATCAGCAGAGAAACATTATTCTCTACCATATGTACCTGTATTTTTAGATAAATACGTTCCACAAATGCTCTGTAAAGGAAGTTTCTTTGCCTAAAGGATCTACTGCTTCCCAAGCCTCCAGTGGTACAGCATAAACCATGTTGCTAACAACAATTGTTCCTGCATTTGTTTCTGGAACACAGATCACAAAACACAGTTTATTTGGGAGTGTCTGTGTACTCCTCTATTCCTGTCCTTCTTATTCAGCCCTTGTAGAGTAAAACAGGCAACTGTGAGCCCGGAGCAGGACACAGCCCTGCCCTGGAGAGATTACAGTCTCCATCAGATAATACACTGCAAATTATACATGGTGAGGCACAGACCTCAGACAAGCAGGAGGGGGAGAACAGCTTGGTTTGGGAAGGAAACTAAGAGAAGCGAGTTTTAAGGAAGACCTTGAAGAGAAATCAGGAGGAGGAAACCTAGGAATTTCAAGGACTAAACAAGGTAAGAGAGGTTGTACAGCAGAACACTGGAAAAAGGACTGATTCGTGGAGATGAGAAGCAGCAAATGCTGAATTTAACCAGGTCTTCTGGTATCTGATTTGAGCAGTAAATGACTTCAAATACTGAATTCTTAAAACCACAGAGACACCAACAAAAAAAAGAAAGACAACTTTACTGACCTCCAAAAGCTCATCACCCCCAAGTGCGTACCATCTAACGAGATGATCATCAGGTCAGCCTTGCTCCCTGGTCTGCAGTGTCACCAGCAGCTTCACTTACCTCCCACCAGCCCCTGCCACACGGCAGAGGCGAGGTGGGATGGGTGGTTTACAGACCGAGCAGCTCCACCACACGATGCCTGTGCTTCCCCCCTCCAAACTGGGCCAGTGGAGCACCTCCCACAGCAGCTCCTCGAGGCTGTGCCTTCATTTGTGGGCTCAGCAGAGCAGGAACAAGCACAGTGGTGCAGCAGAGGCGTCGGAGAGAGGATGGTGCGAGATGTAAGTGAGGCAAGGGCAGGGAGAGGGGACACCGTTTATTAGGTCAGCTGGAGCACTTGGAAAAGCTACACATGCTTTCAGGCACTTTGGGCTGCCTTGGGTCTGAAATAGAAGCAATAACCTTAGAGCTAAATACAGGTTGAGAATAATTGTTCTGAGTTAAACTTCATTATATTAATGAATTAGGCAATTTGAGAGAAAGGGTGATTGGTTCCTGTTGATCAAAGGGAGGATGCTCGCCAGAGGACAGCTGATAATGTCATTTATGGCACAAAGAAAGGCTGAGACAGACAGGAATAATTATTGCCTAGGGATGTCTGGTGGTAGCAAAAATCATAATGTAATATGCAATCAATATCTGTGTGATTTGCTGTCCTGGAGTCAGGAATTTTAGTACTGGATTGCCTTTTGAAGCAGTTTTGGAGACCTTCCTTGCAGGCCAGGAGTGAGAGGTCAGAGATGCAGTGGATGATTTCTTACCGAGTGTTTCTGCCCCTTATCAGTTTGCACAAGTTAATTTGAGACGTTGCCTGCAGTTGTTGCCTCCAGCCTGTCAAATCTGTCATGCAAAGTGCACGTGAAGGAGGGCACTGGTAGGTCTTGGTCCTTCTGTGTCACTTAGAAACCAGATTCCATTAAGCAGCTGTGGTTAATTGCCAGCACTTCTGAGCTCATCACTATCCCTTCAATATTATTTCCTGTGAAGTGACAGTTCCAGGGGAACTGTGATTTCCTAAGGACCTAATTTTTCACATAAATTTAAGTTTCTTAGTGGACTTGTGGAGAAAAGCTAGATAATTCTAAAATCTGTTTAACTCTACACCCAGAAGATAAATTAATATGGTGGGAGGTGGATTATTATTTGTGATTACCTCATAATTTCTAAAATATTCTTGGAGGACTGAATCACAATTTCTGGAGTGATTTGGTTTGGCAGTACTGAAATGAGTCTTTAAGGACAGCACTGTAACAGTCTAAAGGCATAAGTGGAGAACATCCATATTCGTTACTCAAAAATGAAACAGCAATTGTTCTCAACTAAAATATGAGCTATGTCTCAAAGCAGCTAATAAATATGGGAGTCAGTATGCAATATTCAAATACCTGCAAAGGAGGTAATTGCCCCAGGTGTTAATATTTTCCACAGGAGTTGGGAATTTTGCACTCTTCCACTAAATTGCAAACAGAAGTGCTGTATGTACCCAGCTAACCCGAGAGACACAGACAGACCAAAACCCCTGTGCTTCAAAAATACATTGCAGTTATCTACAACATCTGGGACTCAGCAGGGAGTTAAAGGCTCAAGTATGGGATTAAAAACATCAAAACCGCTCTTGGCCAGGCTGAAGTGATCTGTGGAAGATCCACAGCATGGCCGTGGCAGAGCCCAGCAGCCCTGTCTCTGTGCTGGCACATGGGATGCTCAATGTTAGGGTCTAACAAAAATCTAAGGGGAATTTGTTTTAGTTTGTAAAATCTGTCTGCAAGTCTAATTTTGATCAGCAGCAACTTCAGTGAGTGGGCTGGTGCAAAATTTTCACATGATTTGTACTGGAGGAATATATACTTCCATATCTATAGAAACACCCACAGACATTCTTTTAGAGAATCACAATAGTCAGTATGTGAGATCTCACTGCTCCAGAGGCCTTCTGCTCTGCTGGTGGATGAATCAGACTCCAGGTACCATGGACAATGAGGATCCAGTGCCTCACTTTTCTATGCGTGCAGTATTTCAAAATGTAAAGGTCACCTAATCCACGTTAAGTGAACTGTACCGTGAAGAAGATGCTCCAAGGCCACAGAGACTAAAGGCAAGAAAAGGAGGGAATGGCAGGTCAACCTCTGAGGATGTTCCTGTGGCACAAAGGAACTAGATGAATTCCTTATTAACAGCAAACAGCCAGTGATAGCCAGATAATGTCTGACACGTCCTAACAGTGGGTTTAAACGGAGACAGAAGAGGAAACAACACAGAGAAGGGCAGTGCCTTGCCCAGAGTCAGATCTGGGGTGCCTGAGTTGTCATCCCTGATACCATGTTCTTCCCTAACCTGCCACCTCTCGTTTCCATCAGCATGACTGAAAACTCCTGGGTGTTTGCCTTCCTAGCCAAGGCTGCCCAAGCAGCAAATTCACCCGGGTCTGTGGCACTGTGAGCACCTAAGGCAGCCCTTCCCCAAGTTCTGACATTCAGGAGTTCTCTACACTATGTCTTTAAAGTGAAATCAAGCCAGGCTTAGCCCATGGGGCGGAGGGAGAGGGCACCCCTTGGGGGCTGGAACCTCGTGTGCTGAGCCTCCCATGGCACAGCAGTTCCCAGCACTGTGCAATTCAGAGCTGAGGTCAGACAGAAGTGGAGTCTGGGTGAAAAGAAGAGCAGCGTGAAAGCCTGGTGCAGCTGAGCAAGTAAAAAGAGGCGGTGAACAAAGGGAGCAACACATTAGTCGGTCCTTCTGAGGGTGCTGTGGGAGGCAGAAAAGGCATGGGAAAGGGTTATGGGTGTAGCAGGGAATGACTATATTCTGCCAAGGAAAGAAGGAGGGTTTCCAGGGCTGGTTTTGACTTCATGAGCCATTTGATATAAAATTCTCAGAGAAGCTCACAGGGGCACTAAAAAATAATTAAGGTTCTACATTCCCATAGTCCTCTTTTGTTTTATGCTGTGGGCAATCTTGAAGCCAAAGGGACAGGGGAAAGCAGTGCAATGAGCTCCGTGGCTGACAGACTGTTTAAATGTAGCAGTGTCCCAGCGCCCAGAGGAGAGGAGCTCTGATTTCAGGCCTCTGAAGGGCTAAATTACAAATGAAAACTACAGCAAGTTCCACCAGAAACTGCAGCTCTCGATACTACAGATTGTTCCTAACAAACAAAAGTTGACAGAATAAAAGATGGGGGTTGAGGGATGTCTGCACTGCACGCCAAGGTTTTTCTAAAAATATTTTACACCTGCCATTTGTTCTGCACTCTGATCATATTTTGTCTATGAGGTAGAGAACTCATAGTGCCAAAGGGAATGTGGTTTATGTTCCTGAGTCTTAATGCTTTTTCCCTTCTGTAAGGCAAAACTCCTTACTACTGTCACTAAAATAAAGCCAAGAGGACAAAAGTCACACATGCACTGCCACGGTCACAGTTTAACTGTTCCTCTCGCTGATCTTTGGAAACAGTCCCTTCAGCAGGATTTTACAGCTTTGGCACTTTGATTTAGCAAACTTTTTATGCAACTCATGAGAGGAATGCAGCCAACTCTGTACACTCAATTTAAATCAACTTGCTGATGATATAAAAAAGAGTGCTGAACCACCGGTTTGCTTCATCTGCTCCAAAACTACCAACACAAACCCTGAGGTATTTATTCCTGAAACGTTAATAGAACAGTCTGGGGCATCAGATCAGTACATGAACTCTGCTTTGATCCCATGTCAGTCCAAAGAGCTGATTTAACAACTAGTTGTTTGGTTACTTGATAGTTCAGAATGCAACTGGGCTGTTTGCTGCCACCAAGCTTTTGCATGCTGCGATGTGGTGGGAGCAGAGGGTGCAGACTGTGTAGCAAGAGATTACAAGCAGTGTAAGCAATGTTTAGTAGCTTTCCCATTTTGCATCATGAAGGAGGGATGATCCTTGTGTGGGTTACAGAATCACAGAATTGTTTGGGTTGGAAGGGACCTTGATAACTCCCCTAGTCCAACTCCTCTGCAATGAGGAGAGAACATCTTCAACTATAACGGGTGCCTCAGAGCCTTGTCCTCAGTTTGTAAAAATTCCCACAGTTGAGCTGAAGTTGGGAACTGCAAAACTGGCACCCAGGCCAGCCTGTGCCCTCTGAGCCACCCCTGTGGCAGGGACCCTTGAGAACAGGGTGCAGCACTGGAGCACTGAGAACTCCACCCCTGAGCGGGCTTCCCTTTGCACAAACAACCAGATCACTTTTATTTTGGTGGCTGCAACTAGACTTCTGATCAAGAGTGAGGTCTGTCCTCTACCCACACAGCCAGTCCAGCACAGACTGTAGCTGTCCACTGAACCTCTGCCCTGCCACGCCGGTGCCTCTGAGCAGGTTCACAGATCTTGGACTGCAGTTTTCAAAAGTTATATCGATTTGTGCTGAATTGAGAGAGCCCTGCAGACCAAAGTGCTTTGAACTTGTGCTCGGGTGGGGACTCGGGGTGAAGTGACAGGATGCACTAGGCAGCACTGAGGGGGCCACATACTTATGGCTCTACCCTTTCTTTCACTGTAAATTAAAGAGAAATTTCTGAGGCTTAACTTACACTGGCAATTTTAAGGAAGTAAATTGCATGTGTTCACATGAGAAAATACAAAAGAACTTGCACAACTGAGCAAATGCTTCCTTTTTTTCCCCTTCACTCCTTTTTAAGTCCTTCCTATCAAAGCAAGTGCCCCTCCCTGACAGCTGAATGCTGGGGGTGTGCAAATGACCCCAGCGATTGACTCGGTGAGAACAGAACGTTGCAACATTAATGTTTGATCTTAGAAATTCAGCACCAAACTTTAGCAAAAGATAGATCACTGGGTGAAGGAGACTGAACACAAAGCAGGCACCTCTCGTTTCTATGAGGAGGGAATTAACAACATTAAAATCTTCACATTTGCGTTGAGAAAACTGGAAGCTCTTCTACAGACTCGTCTCCCTGCAAAGCACCAGAAGCAAACCCTGTTTGTCAAATCTTTATATGAAAAGGTGCTGCAAAAAACCAACCTCGTTTCCAGAGATTTTTTTTTCCTTGCTGCAAAGCACAGCGGCCCTTCAGACGCAGAGCTGGTTACAGCGGAACAAATCAGCCCGGGAAGAGGATAAGCTCAATGACCTTTAAGACAAATGATCTCAGTTTAAAACACAGGAATAGAAATATTACGGAACACATGGAAGAGTCTCCCCTGTCAGAGTTGCTCAACCTCCTCGGCACTTTAGGTATCAGTATTGTGCTGTAAATAGTGAAATTGTAAGAAGTCTTAAAGTCTAGGCATACAAATAGAAATAATACACAGAGCTAATGTTCTCCATTTTCCAGTAATCGATCCAGTATTTTTCTAATTCCTCTTAAAAGCAAAATTATCCACTTAAAATTTGGTACCAAATGATGCGCTTTTAAGGACCGTTCTGTCCGTGGATGTGCCGTTAGTGGAAAGATAAACCAGATGGCAAACTCAATAAAGAGGAGCCGGTTAAACAGAGACAGATGAACGCCTAAAAAAACCCCTTTGCTCCATTATTGCTTTTGAACTGGTTGTCATGGCACTAGAAATGGATACCACTGTCAGCCTCCCACCTCCACCCGGCCTGCTCTTCCCAGCCTCTGTCCAAGGCACGGAGCTCACGCTGGTGCGAAAAACACCCTCTCCCAGCACCGCTCTGCTCCCACCAAACAGGGGTGCGTGCGTGGAAGTCGCACCTCTCGTCACATCGAGGGCACCCAACAGGAAAAGACTGACCTTCAGTCTCAAATTCCAGTTTTGAGAATGCTAAAGTTCAAATAATTTTTAATCCTGCGCTCCGTCTGTGGCTCACAATCCACTGCCAAGAGCCAAGGACTATCCACTTAGCACTGGAGCTCTGTACGACTGGAGCTGCCATGGAACATAAGCTGACCTTTGTCAGATTTACACATTAAAGCAGTTTCTCTTCCCCTTGACAATGTCCATTAGCAAGGAACACTGTTTGCCAAGCAGACGGAAAAGAATAAGGGAGGCAACTTCAAAATAGCCCTGGAAAAGCTGAGTTGTTCTGTCAGCCTCTGAATTCTTTCTCCTCCCACACACATTTGATTTTGAGAACCTATTGCATTAAAATTGGCAAAATCCACTAAAATAAAAACCTTAGAATGTCACAGTGCAGTTGCATTACATTTCTCCTTTTAATAGAGCATATAAAATGTGAGTTTACAATGAGTTTAGTAAGCTGTAAATCAGCACTTTTATTCAGTTTTGTTTCTGAGCTATTAATCCCTAATACAGAGGCAGAATGCTGATGTGCTGGTCTAGGACCTCCCGAGATAATAGTTCAAATAATCCCAGTGACATGGAAAGGGAATTTCATTGAATCACCTGAGCTCCTGCTTGGCACGCCCTCACCCCATAACTCAACGTTCACAGAGCTTATAGTCTTAATTATCAAGGAAAAAGAACAGAATTCCCTTCTGGCTTCAGTGAGCAGCAGTTACGGAAAACAAGTGGAATTTTGCTCAAATAATTGAAGGCAAGTCCTTAATTGGGTTCTGTGCCCTGTCAGTGGTGTTTTGGGTAAAGAGCCCCGTGTGGTGCAGCAATGCAGCCACCCTTCCACTGCTCCTCTGAGTCAGACCTTGGTGCATCCTCAGCACTGACAGCACAAGGAACAGCAGCGCTCGGATGCGCAGCGGGACAGGAAGAACACACACCACCACAGCCAAGTAATTTTAAAGAATTTTAATACAAACTTAATATAAACTATTTCAGTCCCTCTTAACATGTAAGACACTGACTCAAAATACTTTTATACCTTTTTTCAAGTATTGCACAATGTAGGTACAAAATTAATATTTACGATTACATTTTCTTCCATAATATATAGCAAAAATCTTTAAACTTTTAACAGAAAATACAATTTGTGTTTCTTTTGAAAAAAGCAAATATTTCGTACATTTTAATTCCACCACTAAGGAATATTCTGTACACAACTTTTTTACTTTTTTTTTTTAGAATTGATGTCTTTAAGATGGATATCTTACAATTTCAGTAAAAAAAATACAACATGAAGCTGCTGCAGCTGTCACAGATCACTGTAGTAAAAAGATATAAATGCAATACCATGTTGTAGAAACAATATATATACTCTGATATTTTACAAACTTTGTACTAAATTAAATTATACAATTAGAAAAAGACCAATAAACCCACCTATTAGTGCCAATTTTTTTAATATATATACATATATGTTTGTGCACATATATATATATACACATGAAAAAAAATTAGCCACGTCCTTGCTATATCTTAAATACTGTAAGAGGCCATATTTTGAGAGTATATTTTTGTAATGTACAGTCAGTATAAAATAATTTTGTGCTTGGTTGGCAAATGAAAAAAATGATGCATGTTGTATTTATCTAACCAAGCCTGAATGTATTCATACTACAAGCCTTAAAAAAAATCTCAAGAGGTGGAAAAAAAGATACACCCTTGGGTACGTGCATTTTAACTTGTACAACAGTATTTACTTGGATTTCACTTTCGGTTTATTTTTAGTTAGCCATCACTGGCTGGAATTGCTGGTTAGAATACTGCATGTTGTTTAAACTAAAATTCAAGCCATCCACAAAAGACTTCTCATTTAGACCTCCATAGGCTGCAAACATATCAAAGGCATTACTGTACTGGAGAGGACTGAGGTTAAGGGGGCTGTCACCAGGAAAGATGCTACTGGTACTACCTTGACCCTGCATGTTGGGGAAAATGAACTCCTTTGCGTTAGGAGACAGGGCAGAAGTCTTCTGCTGTTGCTGTTGCTGCTGCTGGCTGCCTAGGCCAAGCCCGTAGAGAGAGTGCATGGAGGAGGAGAGGGCTTTCTGCTTCAACAGGTCATTGACATTCAAGCCAAGGTTGGTGGGAGAGGTGCGGGCGACCTTGTTGCCACGGCCGCTATTCTTCATTTTGGTCGAGCCAAACTTGGTGGCAGCAAATGTGGCAGTGGTGAAGGTTAAAGGCTGAGTGGAGCGGGGCATGAAAGTTGGGCTCACAGCAGCTGAGTGACCAAAGGGAGGAGAAGGAGAACTAGACACTGAAGATGCTGGGTCACTAATTGGCATGAACACCTGGGCCTCTGGGTTAAAGCTGTTCTTGATTTCCTTATCCAACTCACATCCATTTTCATTATCATCCACATAAAGCACTTTCACTGGTCCCTTTTCACCGATTTGGTATGAAACCTCAAACGGGTCAATCCAAACACTAAGATCCTGAGGCAAGTTGCCACGAACATCATCAATGTCCAAACCACTCTCTTTGGATGCTTGTTCTATGACTGGGTCCACTTTCTCCCCTATATGAATACATCTAAACCCTGATCCTTTGTATGGCTTTTCTGGATACCAGTGCCCTTCATATTTCTTCTTAAGAAGTCTTTCAAGCTCTTCACCAAAAATGTTGACACGTCGTCTGGGAAGCTTATTGTACAAATATGAAATAATAAAATTGAGTGCTACTTGGATTTCAAGCTGCATAGCTGCTATGCCACAGAGTTATAAGTCTGTTTCAAAACCCGAAGAAGAAAGTGTTCAAGACGCCACAGGGAAACAAAGTTTCATTCAAAGTGCTGATTCGAGTTGATTATTATCCTTCACCTTGAGTGCTCTTGTTCCTTTAAGAAAAAACAAAAGCAAACACATCCAAATAAGGAAAGAGTAAGATAAAGCTCCGAGGCCTATTCTTTCAGCTTCACTTTCTGCATAAAATAGGTTACTTTTTCAAGGCAAAAAATGTGCATCAAACTATCTCAGTTCCTGCCTGCGGAAGGTGAGGATGTCAGCTCCATTCAGCCCGACTTACAAACAACACTGCAGAAGATGGGCTTGTGTTTACATATACAGCATGGGGTACTTCCAAATCACATGAGCTGGTTGTTTGGTTATTCACAAAGCAGCAAGGATAATTTTTAAAAGACATCACAGAACTGCCAAGCCTGTCAAGGGTTCAATTACCAACCCTTATTTGGATGATTTATAGTACTCAGCTGCAAAATTTAGCACCAGCCTATTAGTTTAGCCTGAGAGGTCTTAGTCCAAGGGTCATTTATCAATTTAAAGTTTGCAAACGTATTGACTGCACTCTAGGCTGCAGAATTATAAAAATGCTAACAACTGCTTTAGAAGATTCCGCACAAATCACCAAAATTATGCAACATTTATTTTAAGTCCAAGCAAATCTTCCGCATAAACTGTGCACGGGTGAAATGATGCAAACTGGGGAGAAAATGTCCGCTGTGCACATCCAACAGTTCTTCCTCCAACTGCTCAAATTGAAATGCAGTCAGCACATACAGAATAGATGCACGTATAGTCTCTCATAAGGGTGGCCATGACCACGGAATTATTATGATAAATTAATTCCCAATTCGTAAATAAAAATTATTCTATATTTTAAGATGTGAGGTACAATATATACTCAATTATTATATTGCACTGCCTATAGTTCAGATTTCAAAAAGTTGCAGAGCTAGCAGGGCTTTTGACAGCCTCAAACACGATTGCCTTTCTCCTTCTCCATGACTCCATTTTATATTTAATGTAAGATATGGTTGCCACTCCTTCACAGAGGACAAAAGAGAAATTAGCTGTCTAAAGTTAGAGAAGGGACAAGAATCAGGTATTAACACACGTACAGCTAAGACAAATCCTGCAGTACCTTGGTATAAAAGTACTCATCTAAAGCACACACCTTTGTGAAAAAGTTTCAATGAAACAAAATATGTTGTTGGTTTTTTTTTTTTCCTCAAGTTAAAAACCCCAAACAGAATTTCAATTAACAGTGGATTTTTCTGCAGTGCATCACCAGGAACAAAATTTAGCGTAGCTGTCATTAAAGATTAGAGAAATCAAAGTCAATATCAAAATCCTTTAACAATGAGGCTATGCTGCTTTTTTATTTCCTGCTCTGAATAATCTCCTTTTAAAGTCTGGAACCCTATTTCCAAGCCACTCGTGTTCTCCCCAACATGGTATGGGAATAGTTTGAAAGCCTGCACGATAAGGCGACCTTTAAACGTTTGCTGGATCAGCACCGGGTGGGGATAAGGAAAAGATCAAGGGCAAACAGAAGATATTTACAAAAGGGGCA